GATAGATAGATAGATATGAACAGACTGAGATAGGTAAATAGATAGATAGTTATGAACAGACTGAGATAGATAAATAGATAGATATGAACAGACTGAGATAGATAGATAGATAGATAGATAGATAGATAGATAGATAGATAGATAGATAGAAAGAAAGAAAGAAAAGAACGGACTGAGATAGATCAGTTCAACATATCAAATGGCATCCGCACATTTCCACTCCAAATACTTATGGTGATCTGCCAAAGATTAGTACTAGCATGTACTACAGAGAAAAGTCTACGGTTCTCAACTATAGCCTTTTCTCTGTTGGCTCAGCAAACAGGGAATTATCCACAAATTAATACTGTGGGATCCTGCTCGTCGAAAATGGAGTCGTTAACTTCCAGCCTGTACACACATCGTACAAATCAATTCAGGCAAAAACCATGTATCGAAATAATGATAGATTTTGAATTATGAAACAGATTTTTGATGGATCTCTAACTGGTGTTCATGATTATATATATATATATATATATATATATATATATAAGTAAGTTTTGGGTTTTTGTAGCCACTATGTTTTAGCGCTTCATTATAGAAATTAATATGTTCATAGAAAATCTTTTCAAAACTAACTTATATAAAAAAGGAAAATGAAAAGCATAGAAATAAACAGAAGTAGAAAAATAATTTGCTATACACCCCCATACAGCCGAATGGTAAAGAACAAATTAGGACAAAAATTCCTTGCATTAATAGTTAAGCACTTTCCTAGAGAAAGTATACTAAGTACTATTTTCAATAAAAATACACTAAAATTAAGTTACAGTTGTACTGAAAACTTATAGAAAATTATTAAGAAACACAATGCTAATATCATCAATAAACACTTAGACTAAAACCAAAGAAATTTAGACAATATAAAAATAAAAAGAGATGAAGATAAACAAAAATTATGTACCTGTAGAAACTCTCATAACTGTCCTCTACAAAATAAATGTTGTACAGAATCATTAGTATTCCAATGAAATATCTCATTTATTGAGAATTCCGAAAACATAAAAATCTATATAGGTTGCACAAGCCATGAGTTCAAAAAGCGGTTCAATCAACACCAAACTTCATTTAGGATAAATAAATACAGAAATCAGACATCACTTTCAAAGTATTTCTGGCACTTAAAAGAATCAAATAAAACACCTACAGTAAAATGGAAATGAATAAGAAAAGCTAGAATATGTAGGTCATTAAATGACCCATGTCCTTTGTGCATACATGAGAAACTATATATTACTAAGTTTATAAAAAATAAAAATTTACTGAATCAAAGAAATGAAATAGCTATTCTTTGCCGAATATTGTCAAAATTTTTCCTTAATATTTAAAAATAAAATAAAAACAATAAAAAATGGAAGCTGGTAGTATACATACTTATATTTGATATGTAATAATACTTTTAAAATAATTTAAGTAATTTTATTACATTTATTTGTTTTAAAAAGAAATATAATCTATTAGTAATTAAGAGTAAAAATAATATTTTAAAATTGTAGTTCAATATAATGTGTTCTAACCCAAACACCCCTTTTAGAAAGCATGTTTATGTATACAAGTACGAATTTAACGGAAAAAAATGCTAAAAATATTTTCTCGTTGATAAGAAAAACCATGCATTGAACGGATGTCATGATTCGTTGAAAAATACACCCCTACCCTACCTAAACTTAACCTCTTTTTCGAACGTAACTCATAATTGATACAATAATAGTTAATAAAAATGAACACGCTACCGTCCCTGTCTAAATGATTGCATTTCTTTATATCCTTGGAAACAAAAAATTATGAATTGTATGTGAGTTTAAAACTCAGTAAATTTAAAAATAAGTTATTCCAAAATTCGCTTGAAGATGAAACAGAACTAATGCTTTTAATTTAATTATATAATTAAATTTGAAGTTTTTAGCTTCGGTTTTTGAAACATGGTAATTCCTGTGTATCGAAGAAACCATATTTTAACTCAGTTAATTTATAATATTTATGCTCTGTAAATTTACATTGAGCATTGTTTTGAAAAAAATAAAAATATCAATAAGAACACCGGATTATATATCTTACTGTCTTTCTTTTTTATTATAATATATATATATATATATATATATATATATATATATATATATATATATATATAAAACACCTACAGTAAAATGGAAAATTTTATTATAAATATATATATATATATATATATATATATATATATAATACCTACAGTAAAATGGAAATTAATATATAAATATATTATATATATATATATATATATATATATATATATATATATATATATATATATATATAACACCTAAAGTAAAATGAAAATGTATACTAACAGTAATATTCGTTTGGTAAAAAAACCTCAGATAGCTCAACTTGTAGATATGTCAAAACAAATCGGTAGCCGAGAAAAAAATTGGAAATAAAAAAGTAAGAACTAAAAGCATCCGAACAGGGTGAAATAAATCGACTAGTGCCAACTTACCCTGAAGATCCGTTTAGGTGAAACCTAGATAGGTTTTTCTGGCTCTTTAAGATTTATTATATATATATATATATATATATATATATATATATATATATATATATCCGATGTGATGAGAACGAAAGTAATATATAAATTCCAACGTTCACAGCATTAATCCAAAAGAGGGCTTGATACCGATAACAAAGCGATAATTGTTTATTTATTATAATTTTACCATAGAGACAAAACCATTTTACTCACTACAAACATGCAACTTTGTTTCAGTGCATTTCAACTGCACTTCGACGGGTGAGAATCGAAAATGATTATGAACAATCCTGCTTGTAGGCAAGCCTTATATGAAACGTCACTTCCCTTTTCCATGTTCACTTCGTCACCTATTTTTTTTTGTTTCGTTTTTTCTTCTCGAACAAATGGAAAAAGGAAGTGATGTTTCACATACGACTTGCCTACAAGCAGGATTGTTCATAATCATTTTCGATTTCACCTGTCGAAGTGCAGTTGAAATGCACAGTAAAAATGGTTTTGTCTATATGATAAAATTATTATTATTATATATATATATATATATATATATATATATATATATATATATATATATATATATATATATATTTATTAAAGACATTTTATGTTTAACGTTCTTTTTATAGATACAAGTATTTTTTGATTTTTCATAGAAAATATTCGTCCTAGGACGAATATTTTCTATGAAAATTTCTCGGACATTCAGGCCGGTAAATGTTATTTAATACTGTTTATTATAAACAGAGCATTTACTTAAATACTTGTATCTATAAAAAGAACGTTAAATATAAAAATTGTCGGATTTTTGTCCATTTCTTAATATATATATATATATATATATATATATATATATTAAGAAATGGACAAAGTCCGACAATTTATTTATTAAAGACATTTTTTTCTTATTTTATATTGTATTTTAAATTGATACCTATATATATATATATATATATATATATATATATATATATATATATATATATATATATAGGTATTAATTTAAAATACAATATAAAATATGCCTAGTAAACAGCTCTGTTTAAGAAGGCGCAGTAAAAAGCGCTCGGTGCAAAATCCCAAAGATTTGAGTTGTAGAGCCAAATTTAATCAGGAACACCAAAATTCAAGCTACTATGCTACCCAGGTTTCGACTGCTACGTATCTTCCGGCAGGTAGGATGAAAGATTTTAATTGACTCCACCAGCATTATATACGAACACCGGAAGTTGGGTGGGGGGAAGGAATAGGGAAAAGGAGAAAAAAAAAGAAAAACACAGCAATAAAATATTTTCATTTAGGTTCGTACATACACGACAGATATTTGATAAGGCGTCTACACTTTGATAACACCTCCATTCTTTTATTTAGCTGCTCGTCCTTGTTGGGAAATCACTTCTCTATCAAGACTTAATGAGACATGAACTTACTACCAATTCCTTGACTAATCTTAGATCCTTATATTCGAGTTGTCAGATGGAAGACACATACCAAGTACTTTCGACAATATCAAATTGTCATCTTCGGGACGCAGTTGTCGAAAGAACTTGGCATATGTCTTCCATCCGACAACAACTCGCATATAAGGATTATATAAAGATTAGTCAAAGAATTGATAGTAAGTTAATGTCTCATTAGATCTCGTTAGAGAAGTGATTTCGCCATTAATCACATTAACATTGCTATCTAATTTTTTGTATTTTTTCTTTCTGTATATATATATATATATATATATATATATATATATGTGTGTGTGTGTGTGTGTGTGTGTGTTGTGTATTTGGGAAGCAATCCCTCTTCTATACATGCTTCGTTAAAGACGATTGATAAGGTACTGTGTTTAAGCTTTTTATTCAATTTTTCTTGTGTTCGTACAAGTGTTTTCTTTTCGGGACACAAAGTGTGTTAAAATTGTCCAAAAGTTCTGCATATCTGAGCGGTTTCGGCTATTCTTTTAGCCATTATGAAGGACGATTTTATTTTCTTAAAGTTTTAGCTGAATGTGTGGTTTTCTATGAGAATTTCTACACACATTTTTTTCAGTAGTCTTTAACGAACCCCGACCCCGCGCGCACCCACACACACAGATACACGCACACACACACACACACACACACACACACACACACACACACACACACATATATATATATAATTTGGGGGCGGATTGCTCAGTGTAAACAAGGATAAAAGTCCATATAAACATATGTCCGCAAATCCTTTGTTTTTGAGTTATTAAGTTTAAAGTTTACGGCGGACGCTGTTAAATATACAATCCAAGATACAATCCCAAAATACATAGCGTAGTTTGTGGCGCCACAGATCCTATCTCAACAACGCGACAATAAGCAGCAGCAGAGGTTGGATAACTCGGCTGCTTTCGGCATAGAAACGCAATCTGATACAGCCGTGTAGCCTCACGTCCATTACCATTCGTACGGACGTATGTAAAAAT